AAAAAAAAAAAAGAAAAACCAAACACTGAAGGCTTAATAATCTAACCTGCAGTCAAGGAAGATGTCATCTTTGATGTGCAATATGAAGACCCCATTGTAAAGAGCTGGTCATGAAGGAAAAGTCATCTGTACCATAAAGTCTCTCAAACTGCCCAGTCTTTTCATGTACTTGGTGGTTGAATTTTGGGGTTTTTTTTTAAGCTTGTTAGCATGATGCACTTGCCTGGCTGCAGAGGCATGACTGTTTACATGACATGTTTTCCTCTTTCCTAGCTGAAGATCTCCAGAACCTTATCTTCACTCACTTAGGCAGTGGATCCTGTCAGCCTGAAGATGGCTCTGGGTCAGGACTCCCCAGGAGAGCAGAGACCTTTGGAGGATATGACAGTAGTCCCTCAGTTTCACATAAAAGTAAGAAAGAGACCATTCCACATTCTTCTGAGCTTCTTAGCTCCTTACTGTGTTTCTCTGTGCAGAGAATGAGATAAGAACAATGACTTGAGAGGCTCTGATACAAGGAAGCTTCATCAGGCTCAAAAAGGAGGATAAGAGGAAATTTCTAGCATGTTCTATTAGCATGTTGTATTTTTTCTTCTGATACCAACACTAGAGAGCAGAGTAGGGCTCTCAGTGCTATGCTGAGGGCATTACCCTAACCCAGACTTTCTAATTACCACAGTTCCACACAGAACTTCTAATTTTGTTGAAAAAAAAATAATTTGACCTGAAACTCTAGGAAACTTGGATTCAGCTGCCTGCTTTTACTGACTCATGAAAACTTTTTTCTACTTTGTTTTGTATCTGCACATTTCCTAAAGAGTTGTTGAATCCTTAGAGAATATCAGTGGCCCTTTTGGCACAGATGCTTTATCAATTAATGAAATGAGTGAAAATACTTGATACTATTTATCTCCATTTTTGCTTTATGTGTTTATTGAAAAATAAATGGTCTTTATTTCACTAGTTGTTAATGTCTAGAACACTTTCTAGAAAAGCCTCTGAAAGGCTGTATGTGTCTGGCATGCTGCAGGTGCTTTGTACAGTATGGTTCCCACCTCCCCCTGCCACCTTCCACACTTCCAGTGGTGCTGATTTGAACAGAATTTTCTACTAACAAGTATTCTGTGTTAGGAGCTTGCAATTCTGGTAGCCACAGACAGTCATCTTCATGCACATGTTGTGGCTGCTTCACTTAAAATACTATAATGTCATTTGACTGTACTGTCCTTAGTTACCTTCACCCACTCAACTCACATTTTTATACTTTTTTTGAGCAGTCCTCATCACTGTTGTCTGCTCTTCCACCTTGAATCATGATGGAGAAGCCCTACTGGGTCTAACTTCAAAGTCGCCATTTTCTCCTGCCTGCTCTGTTGGGCAGTGAGTTTTCCCAGGCCCTGTGCTGGTGTGAATTCCTCATCCTACCATCTTCTTTCAGGTGGCAGTTTTAGGAAGAACAACAGTGGTGACCAGAGACAGTGGGACTGGAGAGGCCCTGCAGTAACCTCAGATGTGCAACTCCACGACCTCCCTTCTGATGCAGAAGAAGGATCTCAAACTGTATGTTGGACTTATGCATGATTTCAATGTGTTCCCTCATGTCCCTCTTCAGAATAATGGTGCAGAACAACTCTAGAAGTTAGAATAGCTGGTTGGGCAAGACTCTAACAGGGCTGTGTCAGTCAAATTACTCTATTAAAGATGTTTTATGGGGTGAGCTGACACCTTAGTACTTGAGAAGCATGATCATTTGATGTTAATATTTGTTCATTTGGTGCTGCACTGTTAACTCAAGCTTTAATCAGCATGCATCTGTTAATTCCAACTTTAATCACCATGCATCTGTTAACTCTAGCTTTAATCACAGTGCATCTGTTGCAGCCTGGCCTCTGATTTAAGCATTTTTAATATGTGTCCTTCAGTATATGGGAGCAGCCTCTGCTCCAGCACTAAACACTGTTCCCTCATGAGATGAACCCATCCAACTTGTTCTGGCAGCACTACCAATGCCCAACAAGTGTCTCTGGTGCAGATGTTCTTGTCTTTTTTTACAGAGTGATGTCACAAGGCTGGATGACAGCAGTAGTTTTCAGCCCACCATAGAGTCTCAGGTATGTTACTTCCATTAGGAAATCTAAACTTACATGCTATTATTATAATATTGCTACTTAAAACCACATCAAACAACCAAACCCCACCAAAAAACTTACTATTTTTCATGTCTGTGGAACCACAAGCAGATTAACAGGCTGTGCTTTGTGACTCTAACACATGAATGCAGAGAGAAAAATCTTGTTAGAAAGTGAAGCTGGGTTCTGGGTGTGTTGACACACATCAGAGAGCTGCTGAACTCCTCCTGAGTCTTTGGTGGGTTGGCATCTTCTCAGCTCAGGGATAACCCTTGCCTCTGGATCCCCCGTGAGGGCTATAGCTGTGTAGTGATCCAGTGCTGGAGTGTGGCAGGAAGTGAGCATTAAACAGTTCATGTGAAGAAAACTGATCAGGATTGCTCTCTGGAGTCCCAGTGAGGCTCACAGGGCACTGATTTACATCTCTGTGAGAACTAATATGTGAAAATTAATCCTGCCTGCAGATTCCTCTGTTGGCTGTGACTGTGTTAGGGTCCCCTTGTAGCCCTGCTTCCACTGTGTGTGGTTTTGTATGGATACCATTGGTTATATTCACTGTCTAAAAAGAAAAATGTCTAATGCATCAAAACAGAGCTGCTCTCTTCAAGTGTCTGATGTCTTTTTTTCCTCCCCTCCTCTTCAGCTTGTCCAAAGGATACAAACACTGTTACAGTTGCTCTTCAGTCTTCAGGTAAACCACCATTTACTAACCCAGAATTCATTAGGCATTACATATAAAATCTATACAAGTTTGGAGAGCAGCTACCTTGAAAATATCCCCTAAAGCTAGAGGGAAGTGCAGAACTTAAGCCCTGAGACTCAAGGAAACAAACACTGGTGTTTTGAAGGAAGTGTTAGGTCTGTTGCCTTAAGCAACTGTTCCCTTTTTCCTGCTCACTTTAAGGCCATTCCTGTGCTAGCTGGAGCTCCCTCAGCTCACCCTGCTCCTCTCTTCACTTTGTTTTTGATACACACATGTGTGTATGTATTAGTTGTTTTTACTGTAACCGTGTGATCAACAATATTTTGCCTGGTTGGGTTGAGAGTAGTAACTCTAGGGGCAGGAATGTTCATTTTGTCCTAAGTAAGCATAATTTATTTCCTTATCCATGGTTAGCACCGTGTCAGTCACGATGGGCTGACCGAGCTGGAATTTAGATCTGCCCTTAAAGACAAAAGTCTCTGTGATCTAATCTGGTAGATGGTGTTATCTGAACGTTCAGCTGGGTGTGTTTCTTGCACTTACTGAGCTTATTCCCCCTCCAGGCAGTGATATCTCAGCAGGACAGCTACATTGAGGTGCAACGAGCCACCATGGTGGACCGGGAGAAGCAATACCGGCTGCAGTCGACACGAGGCAACCTGCTGCTGGAGCAGGAGAAGCAGCGGAACTTCGAGAAGCAGAGGGAAGAGCTGATGAACGTCCAGAAGCTGCAGAGCCAGCTGAAGCTGGAGCAGCAGCGCCTGGAGCGGGAGAGGAGCCGGCAGCAGAGGGAATTCGAGAGCACGGAGGCGCGGCTGCAGGAGCGCGAAGAGGAGACGCGGCAGCTGAGGGAGAAGCTGACCCAGGAGAGGGAGGAACTGGAGAGGCAGAGGGAGGCCTATCAGCATGACCTGGAGAGACTGCGGGAGGCCCAGAGGGCAGTCGAGAAGGAGAAGGAGCGTCTGGATCAGCTGAGGAAGCTGAAGAAGCAGAACACAGTGTCGGGCACCTTCTCCCCGGAAATGGCACAGGTGAGGAACTGGTTTTCTTGGAGTTTTATTTCTCTTCTCATGCTTGCCTCTGAATGGAGGTTGCAAGTTTTGCAGCTCTAACCCGTGTTAGCTTTTTACCAGGCTCTTTGAACCGTCATCTGAAATAGCTGGTGATGGCTATTGTCAGAGAAATCAGAGCTTGGCAGTTCCCCAGTGTCTGTGAAATCCACCCAGATGTTTGGTAACAAGAGTATTTTTTTTTTTTTTTAAAGACAGAAACTTAATAAGTTATTTTTGAATGTGGCTGTGGGTTTTTTAGACACAGGCAGGCAGTTGCAGATAATGTGCTACACTGGTAGCATTTTGTATAAAACCATTTCTTGTGTTTCAAAATGTGAAGGTTGATATCTGATTAAGTTGACTCATTTGTTAATGGCCTGAAGTCCTGCCTTCTGTCCCATCTTATCACCTCCTGCAGGCTGCTTTTGCCTTCCTTTGCTAGGTGCAATATCAAACAATCTGGAGCTGCTGAGGTTCTTTTTAGTGTCCAATGACTTAGTCTTGCTCTTGCTGCCCTTAGACAAGGGCCCAGGCATGCTGGCAAACCTGTTGCATTTTTCACTAGAAAGTGCTTCACCTTCTCAGGGCTTTTCTCATTGTATGTGAGAGGGTGAGGAGAGCCATTTGACTTCAGATGCCTTTTTCCTCCTGCAGAGCCAGCTGCTAAGTCATTCTGTCAGCTTCAATGGCGAGGGGCTGGAGCCTTCCCTGCCCACCCTGAAGACCTCGGTGCGAGTGAGCGTCTCGGGGCTGGACTACCTGGAGCGGCCGGACTTGGTTCGCAGGGACAGTGCCAGCCTGGAGAGTCGCCCGGCCCTTGCCCTGAAGAATGAAGTGCCAATACACCTCCTGAGCGCCACCAACCAGATCCAGAAACCAGCTGCAGTCCAGCAGCAGATTCCCACCAAGCTGGCAACTTTTACAAAAGGAAGCAAAGACAAAAGTGGGAAGAACAAAGCCTCGCACAGGACGGACAGTTCAGGTGGGTGTATTTAAACACTTTTCTCTTTGCCAGCATCACAGGGAGACAGAACACTGCAGCTGCAACTTCTGGCTGCTCGTGTGGAGCCCAGAAATTAATACACTACAAATCATTAGTGTGCTTCCTGCAGGTAGCAGGCTCTTCACATCCTGAACTTAGGAATCTGTATACTGTCTAGATCAGAAATACAGCCCAAAGGGATGATGTTGAAAATGGAGTTCTGTAATCCAACAGGACAGAATGATAGTAAGAGGTTGTAAACTTGGATGTGAAATCTTCTTGCCTAACTGTAGTGTTAAAGGAAAACAGGGGAGGGAAGGAGGAAAGCTATTTCTGCATGAATGAAGTGTTTTGAGGCTGCCTTGAACTTCTCTTACTATATGTCCAGAGTTGTAATGACATTGAATGCGATGCCTTTCTTAGCACCAGTCAGTCATTAAACACAGATTTCAAGGCCAGAACTGTGATCCTTTGTGTGTTGTAGAGCTGAAAGGGGCTAATTTTGTCACAAATAGAAGCGAGTAAAAACACAGTCCCCCTCTCATGGTGTAATTGCTGCTGCTAACTACTAGGTTCTAAAGTAGTGATCTTTGCTAATGACAGACGCAGTAAAAACCACTTTTTCTCTACCACTTAAAATAGCCTTACTGCAGCTTAGGAGAATGATCTGTAATTTTAAGTTACAAAATTTATCTTTTCAGTTTTGTGTAGGCTTCAAGCTTGGCAAACTTACCTATTGCTTGGGCCTACACTGCTGCAGCAAACTCATGGCCAAACCTGACTAGGGAGGGGAGGGGGAAAAGTCTTCTGCACATTTTAGAACTGTCTGATTCTGTCATGCCTAAAGTTTAGGACAGCTTCAAACTTGCTTGTGTTTGCACATAAATGAAGCCTAATATCCTTTTACCCTGAATACCAAATGCCTGTAAATGGGAAAATAAAGCTCTAATACCACATCTCCCCAAGTTTATTTTTAATAGCTCTTATATAATGATCTCTGCGGTGGAAATGCACTTAATGGGATTTTTCTGGAATTTATATGAAAGGTATAAACCACAGATATATTGGTCTCTGTTCTCTCATGAGCATTAATGGGATGCGTGCTTTTTATGCCCATATGTAGATCTTAGAATAAAATGGAACAAAACTTTCTGTACCAGAGGCAAAATACCGTGTATTGAATTTGGATTTCGTGATGTGTGAGGAATGTGCACTGAGAAGAGTTCTTTGGTTCCAGAGTAACCGTTTCATGAATTGCTTTTATTGTTGAAACCAAGGAGCTGACAGGCTGTACCACCAGAATCAATGTGCTCTGCCACTGAGCAGCTGGGAGACAGATGGAGAGCAGAGACAAAAGCTCATCACAGTTCTGCGTGTTCAGAGTAGCACAAACAGACGTTGCTGTTTGAATGCTAGGGACAAAGATTTTTTTATGTTTTCTTTCTCTGCTGTTCTTTATAATACTAAGGTTTAAATCTGTGGTTGTTGGGGGCTGCTAGTTACTGAATAGAAGTCCTCAAGTAAGAGGAGAAAGATTGTGTGGTCTAAACAGCTGAAGAGAAAACTTAAGTAGCTTGCAACAGAAGCAGCAGGTCCTTGTGGTATAGCAGCTTCCTTGGATACGCAGAGGTGTCAGCACAGCATGAAGGAGTGAAATTTCTGAAGTACTGCCAGCCTCGAGTACTGATCTGTAAAATATTTTCTGTAGCCTCTGTTGACCAGAAGCAGCTGCTGCCCCCCAGGCTTGTGGGGCGAGAGGAGGGGGTGCTGAGGGGCAGGCGGTCCGCGAGTCCCGTCCTCCCAGGCAGCCAGACCACTGCATTCCAGCCAGGTATGTCTTGACCAACCTGTGTACCCATGGCAGTGCATCAGGCTCTCTGCAGTATCATGAATATGTCTTCTTCCATTTCTTTCTGTTGTTCTCTAGAATTTTATGGCCCAGCAGATGCTCAGCCAGAAGCACCTTCATCTGCCTCAGCGAACCTATTCAAGCCCAATAACGTTCCCACTCAGCCCCTGGTGCCCTCTCAGCCAAGTCTGTTAAATGTCCAGGATGATACCAGCAAAGAAGATGTAATTTTCTTCTAATTGTTTCCATTTAAAGATTAATCTTCTGACAAACTATTTCAAGAACTCAGGCCCCAGTGCTCAACGTGACAGAGACTTGACACAGAAGTCTTCTCATCTCTGCCCCGTTACTACTAGCGAGGACCAGACCAGGATTACTGCTCTACTTCGTTGGCTCCTCTGCCAGCAGCTCAGAATGAAGGCACAGTAGTAACAATTTCCTTTTAAATCCTCCAAACATGGAAAAGTCTCAATGCGTGGCATGGGTATAGAAATTCAGAGCTTATTGAAATGCTGCCTTTTATTGTAACGTGCTCTGCTCGGAGAACGTGCAGGCTCTGTGGGCACCACCTTGTAGATTGTTACAGTTGATGTTGAGCCGCCCAGATTTTGATGTAAAAAGTTTTAGTAGTAGGCCCCAAAATGGCTGCAAATTTGGAAATCCCTTTTCACAGGCCCACAGCCAGCAATGGCTCCTGCTAGCAGTGTCAGTCAGCAGGTGCCTGGCAGGCCTGTCCACACAGCCAGGCGTGACACGCCGTGGGCCCTGCTCCCAGGAGCTGGGATAGCCTCTGTTTCTATAGCAAGTCCAGTGGAGCATGTGCTCACTGACCAGGGACAGTGGAAGAGAAGAGGTGAGAGCTTCTAAACAGAGTCCTCACTGGTGAGGATCTCCACCAGCTTGAGGAGAGGGGCTGGATACATGAGAACACGCAACGGGAGTGAAGAGTCGGACTGAATGCACATTTCATGGGCCATTGGCTTGCACTGGGATCCCTGTCCCCTGAGACCCTGGGGAGCTCTCAGTGGTAGTGAGAGCAGCACAGGTTCCCAGGCAAAACTCATGAGCTGGTTCAGAATGAACTTAGAGACTTGGATTTTGATGAAGACATGTATAAGAAGCGTGTGAATGCAGTAATTTATTGTGTTGTTTAATCCTAAATTTTCTGCATCTTTTGTTTGTCTGTTAAGTTGTTGGGACTTTACTCCAAGTACCACAAGATATCAAAGCTGCTGTTACTGCAGAGACTTCTCTGCAGCACTGGGTTAGGAATGAAGGGAATGAGATCTGTTTGGTTTTAAAATTAAAAAAAAAGGAAAAAAAAAAAAAAAAAAGAAAATACTCTTAGCTAAACCTGTGTTGGTTTAGCTGCTTACAGCTAAACCAGCTTTGATACCTCTTGTTAAATGGGTCAGTTCTTAATCATGGAATGGTGAGGACATGAAGTGTTCTGCTCCAAAGGCATTATTTCCCTTTGTAGTAATTTGCACAGTCGTTTTGTTGTGTTGTATTGCTCTGCTCTGCGTCTCTGTTTTTACCACACACGTCCCCTGAGGATGTGTTTGTTCCCCAGTATATGTTGAATGTGACCACTCAGACATATTGTGCACAGGAGAGATTGTTTAGAGGGTATTATTACAGAATTAAACAAATCAGTATCTCAGAGCTTAAAAACTTGGGTTAATACCTCTGAAAACATGTTTGATAATAGTCTTTTGACTCTGTTTCAAATCACTGATGCTGTTGCAGCTGTTAGGCCCATCATTAAGGCTGTAACTCCACTTTGCTTGAACATTTTAAAATTATTTCAGTAGTTACAGTGCAAGAAGCATTATAAACTTTCAGTAGAAAACACAGAGTTTATTTTCATCATACAGCATTGTTGCCATACAGTGTTGGTGGTGGTTAGAACATACTTCTACCCTAGTTTTTGCCATTCTAAAAGTTAGGTTGGAATGGAGGGGAGTTCTTCAAATCAGTGTAACTTCTGATGGAGGCACCTTGTGAGATCCAGCAGCTCTCTAGGACCAAGGTTTCAGTCGGCTGATGGGGAGACTCTGATTGTTTCTGATGCTTGTGGAATTTCTCCTGTAAGCTTGCAGTGAGGCAGCAAGAATGCACAGTATGTTCTCTCCTTTGTGCTGTGGTTTGGGCCACTCCTAGTGAAAACTCTGTGCCCCCATTGCCTTAAATTGCCAGGTTTTAAAGAGTTTTTAGGCTGAAGTGAAGTTACATCAGTGGAATAAACCACCTCAACCGAAGAGGGATGTCTCTGGGTATTTGAAAACAATTTTTGGAAACATTTATTTAGTTTAATTTTGTGCCTGTCCTAAAGTATGGGAGAGAGTGTTCTACAGACTGAAGGGGTTGGTCAGGCTACATTCTTCTTCAGTGCAATGAGTGAACTCAGATATAGAACGGTGACACCTGGAAAATAAAGTCTGCAGTGAAGTCTCATCTCTTTTAACATTTTATCTTCAGTGTGTTCATACTCGTCAGCAGGGCTTCAAATAAGTTCTGGCTGTTAGCAGATGGACCTGGGACCATTACAGGCTGTGGTTCAGCACCCCAAAAGCTCCTTGGAAGACAGATTTTTGGTCTGTAACTGAGAAATTACTTTTAAGTGTCATTTTCTCTCCTCAGTACACATGTCTAGCTGCAGCTGGCTTTGTGCAAACTGCTCTCACCCTGAACAGAGGCTGCATCTCCTCTCACTGGGTCAGAACCATTGAAGTGCCATGCTGGGTATTCACACAGCTTCCTGCTCAGTACCCACACCACAGCGTGGCAAAATTATTGGTAGAAGGCTGAGGGGAGCAAGTGAAAGGTTTTCTTTAAATGGATAGTGGCTCATCTCTTCACTTGTGCAGACCTTATCTGTGAAATTGTTACCAAATCACTCCAGTCGAGTGAACCTGTTTTGGACTCTCTACTCAAATCTTGTCCCTAAAAGAAGAACTCTTCTAGGCAAATTAGACTGCAAAATACTGCTGTGTCCTGGGCTAAGTATCCAGCTATTGATTCTGAGTCATATCCTTTCCATCTGACTTTTTGATCACTTCAGACAGAAGTTTCCTTTTAAGTGCTACCTGAGGATTAGACAGTTCAAAATTGTGTGCCTCCCAGGTGCCTTTTGGCTCCTTTCTGAGCTGGGGCGTGGAGGAGATGACAGCACAAGCTTTGAACTGCCTCCTTCTTTGCTTTGTGTCACAGCCTTAAAGTGATTGTCATGTTTGTCCTTCAGTGTTGTGATGTTGCAACGTAGAGGCTGTTTCTGTGGTTCTGAGTTTCAATTTGAACTGGTGTAAAAGATGCTTCCTCCTCCCTTCCCACCTGGAATAGGGTCGTTGCCTATTTCAGCCTGGGGATCCCTCCATGTTGGCTAGTCCTGAGCACATCTGCCCTGTGTGGATTGTAAATGCTTGCCCAGTTTTCAACGGTGCTGTCTGTGGATTGTAGCTGTGGCACATCCCACAAATTGAGATCACTCATCATTTCCCAGTGTGAGGCAGAAGACTTGGTAACCCTAGAGCTGCTTGCTCGTCGAGGTCGTTGCGTTCCTGCAGACGTAGGAGCAATTCTAAGTAATTTGCAGACAGTTTTGTCTTTGAGTAATAGTCAGATGATGCTGCGTACATGGAGCTTGGTGTTTGTCATTTGCATTTACAATGAAAGTTGAAATTTCAACTAGGAAGGGGTTAAAAATACATATTTTTGTTTCACTTTTCCAGTCAACTGCAGAATGGGAGCTCAGGCTCCCCGGTGCTGCTCAGTGGAGTCGCTGTGTGTTGTGCCCCTGTGCAAGGGAATTTGGAGTGTTTTGTTGTCTTCCCCAGCAGTTCTCACATTTATCAATGAAGAAAACAAACCCTTGCTGCCAGGTTACACGTGTGGTGCCCTTGCTGAGTGGGTAAAACAAAGAAACTTTCCCCCTGCTTTCTCTTTCGAGGCCAGACCCAACATCCTGGTAACCGCTGGCAGCTCCTCATGGACCATCAGCACGTTGTTCATTGGAAACCATTCGTGTGAGCTCTGGTTTGTACCATTTGTGCCATGTTTATAAATCCGTTTTTTATATTTTTGTACTGAAAGAAATTGGAGCACTTTACAAAAGTTGATTTCGAGTCCCATTTCTGTTTGTACCTGGCAGGAAATCTCTCATGCAAGTAGATCCTGTTGGCGTAACCGCATCTCGCTCAGAGCTGTGAACTCTCTTGATGCTCTTTAGTCTTAGGTCTGGTTTCTAGGCCCACCTTGCACTGTAAAGATTTAATAAATACTCATGGTCCATGGTTAAATTGACCATTTTGTTGGGGAAGCGTTTGGTTTTTGTTCTTTGTTAGGGTGTAAACAGTGTAAATAATTCCTTTACTGTTGATACCGCAGTAGCAACATCTTTGTAGCCTTTATTTTATTTGTAAAGTTGATGGTTAAATGTTAATATTCTGTTGAATTGTGCACTCTTGATTAATTGTAAACTTGATCTTAGCACACCAAATAATGATTTTTACAATGATTGCAATGTTTCTCCACTGAAGGATTTCAGAGCTGCAATAGGACTGAAACCAACTTCTAGCAATAAAAGAAAAACATTTAAAAACTGTCTTGTCTCCGTATATATATATAAATTATTTATTATTTTCTGTTTGAACTGAAGATCAAAGCAGCAGCTGCTTCTCACGTGCTTCTCATTTTTTCTACCCTGCACAGAAATAAAGTGCCATATGAGCAAAAGTGATGGTTTTCCCAAGGAGAGGACGGAGCATAGGAGGTGTTGAGTGGAGGATACTAAGAGCTGCAGCCCTTGCCAGTGAGGTGAGCACCCCAGGAGAAAATCAGCTGGTCTCCCAATGTCAGAACTGTCTGCTAGTGAGAGTGAGCTTCACAAAGGTGCTTCTGTTAGCATGCAGGTACCAGTCTGTTAGCGTGTGTGGTGCCAGTCTGAGGCATGCCTGGCTCTGTCCCAGACAGTATCGGTTCCCACTTGGAGCAAGTATAACAAAAATAGAAACTTTCTCCCTAGAGCTTGTGCCAATTTGGCAGCCCTCACTCCCAGCACCATCCCATAGCCTCTGGCTGGTGCAGAGCTTCCCAGCTCCAGAGTCAGCAAGTTGCGTTTCCTGGTGAAATCCCCACTTGTGGCAAGCTAGCAAAGCTGTAACCTCAGATCATTCCTAGAGATTAGAACAGATGCAAAACTGGGGGGAGAGTGGGAGAACTGGGACTGGGATCAGTGCTG